AGACTAATTTTATGTACTTAGATAATAGCAATAGAAGTCAACTTATTGTGCCTCAACTGATCCTTGAGCATCCTTGAGCTCTGTCGCTATGTGTATTCACAGATAGTTCAGCTACACTACAGGTAATTGTCAGCCCTGAAATTTTAAGATAAGACTTTAGAAGAAGCATAGAAGAGCTCTCTTCCATCATGTAAAACCAGACAGATGTTTCCTTACAGTCTTCCTCCTTTTCCAATGCTCTGGAAAAATTATTAATGCTCCTTTTGGTTCTGGCTGATTATATTCTTCAATATTTATAGATTGTTTTTAAATGTATTTAGACACATACTTGTTTTCATTTAATCTGATAATATATGCATATTTGTTTATTCTTTCATCAAAGTTCTCTAGTCCATGAAAAGAAATTGTTCTCTGGAACTCCCTCCTATTTGTCAGCATTTTTCTGAAAAAAAAACATGCTCAGAATGAACAAAATACTCCAAACCTAGCCACACAAAAGCCATGTCTGGAGAGAAGAAATTCTCTATTCTGCTGTGGTATAAAGTCTTTGCGTGTTCAATTCAAAATTGCACCAGCATTTTTATAATTATCACCAATTGCAAATTTCCTGTCACCTGGCTTTTCCCAGTTAACTAAGGTATCTTTCACTATTGCTGTTTCATAAGTTTTTCCTTAGAATGTAGTGTGAATTTTTCTTCAAATTCCATTTTATTTCTACAGGCTATTTTAATGTCCGTATCCTTTCATTTCTCTGTCCCAAGTAGTGTTGACAACCCTCCTAATCTCTGTTATTTGTGATTTTCATGTGTTCTGTCTGTCTGTCTGTTTGCTGTCCCTTCAACTTTGTTAATGAAATAAGATGCTTGTGACACAACAGGGTATGTCATGTTATAGCCATACTCTCACAGCAACACATGTTCCCCCCCAGATAACCCAAATCCAGGGAGACATTTCAAATAACAACTTCCATTTAATGGGCAATAATTCAAACTAAAATAATATGTAGGTTTTTTCCTCCTCCCTGGTTCACATAGTGCCTTTCCAGAGCAACAGGATTTCTAGTATTGTTCATTGTGGATATGGGAGTACTTCTGTTCTTCTTCAGCAGTATTCAACTGTTCTTAAGTGCCATACCAAAAACATCTTAGTGTTGTGACTGGTCCAAAAGAAACTCATCTTCTTTTTACAAATTGCCACTTCAGAATGGCTCCATAGTGAGGAGGAATGAAGTCTTCATCTCACATGGGACATTAGTCATTTTGTGGTAGGAGTACTATGAAATTGTACAACCTCTAATTACCTGGGCTGTTGTTTCAATTTTTCACTCTTCAGTGTTCAAGGTACCCACCAATTTAATAACCTTTTTCAGCATTTATTTTTGTA